GGGGAAGAAGTAATTTAAATTATTACGTAATAAAAATTTAGAAAAATTTTCGCAAAAAAAAAATTTTTTTTGTTCGTTATTGTGATGATCGCGTCGACGCGTGACGTAACAGATCGCAAATTTTCTTTTTTTTTTTTTTTTTAAATTTTCAAAATGAACCCCCCCTGTAAATATTTATAAAAAAATTAAACGATTAAAATTTATAACAAAAAAAAAAAAAAAGAAAATTCTCCATCTTTATTATTTTCCGACGGAAAATAATCCCCGTCATGAAAATGATTTTTTTTCCAATCAACGCCCGCCATTGTTGTTTACAAATTAACATTTCTATTTGGATTGTTCGATTTCAACCAATCAGAGAACGGATAAACAATTTATGACGTCATAATTATTTACTATTTCATTCGTGATTAAGAAAATTCGTAAAATTTTCTTTTTTTTTTTCTTTGTTTTATGTTTTCAAATTACGAAAAAAAAAAATTTTTGATTCGCGACGAGTGATAATAATAATATTAATAATTTAATAATAATAATATTAATGATAAATTTATTTGTAAATCTATAAAACATTTTCAAAAGTTTTTTACCCCAGTTATTTTGACCCCTGTAAATTATTAAATATTTATCACGTATTAATTGATTTCTTTTTTTATATTATTATTAGTATTATTATTATTTTTAAAAACACCGACAAATGATAAATAATATTTAATAAAAAATACGTCATTCATTCAAATGACGTTTAATAAGAAAACGTTTAGTAAAACTAAAACGTTTTAAACAAAAAACTAATTTAGTTCGAAATACATAGAAAATATTTTAAATCAATATGGCGGACGTTGGAGGGAGGCGGCGGTTGATTGGCAATAACATTTTTACAATAAGTGTTTACTTTTGGTGTGCATTAACAAACCGATAACCTATTTTATACTCTACTAATAATATATATTTTTTTATGGTTAATAAAACCAAAGTAATAAAAGAAAAAAAAAAAAAGAGTTTTTACCCACAATAAAACGTTAGCCGCATACACGCACACACACCCCCTCATTCTTTTTTTTTCACGCACGCACTCACTCACTCACGCACATACGCTCACACGTAAATATATATATGAAAAATAATAATAATAATATAAAATAAAAAAAAATTTTTTTTTTTCCCCGAAACCGAAATCCCGCGGTTAGTTATGTAATCCTTACCAACTTAACAGAAAAATATTTCGTTAATGTATTCAAACATATAAAAAAACGGGCAGAGAGAAAAAAACAATAAAAATAATAATAATGATAATAATAATAAAACCCGCGAATTTTTTAAACGAAATTAAATTTTTTTTTATAACCACAAAAAAAAATTAACGTAAAATTTTATAACGTCAATATAAACTATATACATCCATTAACAAAATAATAATAATAAATAAATAAATAAATAAAATGTCACGTGATTTCCGTTTTGCGAGAGAAAAAAAAATAAGAGTTATTAAAATTACTTAAAAAAGATAATCCGGATATAATAATCACGTGATAAAACAATTTCGTTATGAGAGATTAAAATTAAATTAAAATTATTTATTTTTTTTTTTTATACTTATTAATCAAGTTTTTACATTAAAATGATATTCTTTTAAATATATATTTAAGAACGAAATTTTTATTTTATTTTCAAAAAAAAAAAACAATTAACTAATGCCACGACATTTTAAAAATCGGAAGAGGGAAAAAAAATTATAACGAAAAATAATTTTATTTTAATTATTATTTATATCTTGTTATGATTTTTTAACGTGTCATAAAATTTTAATTTTTCATATACTCGAATTCGTTATTTCCACGTTATAAAAAAAAAAAAACCCCGCGTAAATCATAAATTTAAAAAAAAAAAAAATTCAAATTTTTCCCTATTTTTTTTTAAAAACTAAAAGCAACGAAATTAAATTATAATTATTATTATTATTACTATTATTATTATTATTATTATTATTATTATTATTATTATTATTATTATTATTATTATAAATTTAAAAAGCAAAAGGAAAGCATTAAAACGTGGAAATAGAAGAGGAAACGAAGTTTAAAAAAAAAAAAACGATTAATTTCACATTACCTCAAAATCAGAAAAAAAAAAAAAAACGAAAAATTTTCCAGGATTTTGATAATAAATATTTTTTTTAGTATACGTAAAAGTTGGAAAATTTTTAAAATGAAAATAACGGAAGTGAAATTTACACTTTTCCGATTTTTTTTGCATAAGTAAAACGTTAAGTAAAAGTTTTAAAACGTAATTATTAGATTATCCGGTTTATGATTTAATATAAATTCAAGTTTGTTTTTTTTTAACCGTCATTTTTTTTTTTCGAATAAAAAATAAATTATTATTATTATTGTTTGCGCGTGACGTTTTATTAAAACGACATCAATCAAAAAAAAAAAATTCCATTATTTAAATCTTTTTTGACTATTTTCTTTTTATTTTCACACTCCATTATTTAAATAATTTAAATAAAAAAAAAAAAAAGAAAATCTCATCAATAATATATATATATATATTTTTTTTTTACGATAATCTACTTCCACGACTTTAACGTGAAATCAATTTGAATAAAATGAGAAAAAAAAACCCGCCAAAATTTATTTTAAATATAATATCGTCACGATTTTATCTTATTTTTTCTTTTTCCTTTTACGAAATTTAAAATAAAAAAAAAAAAAAAAAGAGAGAGAGAATTAATGTGTGAGAGAGAGAGGTGAGAAGGGGAGAGAGAAAGAGAGGGAGAGGGAATTAGAGAGAGAGAGAGAGAGAGGGAGTTTGAAAATGTTTAAAAGAGCGTAAAAAAAAAAAAAAAAACGTAAGAGAGAGTTTTAAATAAAGAGAGAGAGAAAAAGAGAGAGAGAGAGAGACTAATTAGCGATTTTCAACAGAGAAAATATTTTATTTATATCGAGAAAATAAGAGAAAAAACTTTAAGAAAGTTCTAGAAAATTTTTCATTTTTTAAACGAATGCAAAACAAAAAACAAAAAAAAAATTTTTTTTTTTTTTTTTTTTTGTTAATCTTCTTATCGTCGTTACACTCGAATATCACTCAAAAAAAAATTTAAAAAAACAATAATTTGACCTTTCGAACTTTTTATATACATTTTACATTACGAATATAAAATTAAACCAGAAGACAAAATTTCTAAAATAATTCACAAAAAATGATTACGGCGATTATGCATAAAAAAAATCTACTTAAACGTTTGAGTAATCATTTAACTGATTTTTTTTTTTTAGGTCGTGGTTATAGAAAAGGAAAATTTTTATATTGAAAAATAGAAAAATAA